CAGTTTCTGTACTATGATGGACTCTAAATCCTGACTGAAAATCCTCAAACAAATCATTCTTGTGCATGTGGTCACATAACTGCTTTCCAACAGCTTTTTCAAGGATTTTGGAAATAAATGGGAGATTGAAGGTCGGTCTATAATTAGCTAGGACACCTGGGTCAAGAGTAGGATTTTAGATTAGAGGTTTAATTACTGCATTTTTAAAAGCCCGTGGAACATAACCTGTTAATAGAGAAAGGTTAATCAGATCTAGTATAGATGTGTTGATTAGGGGAAAGACGTCTTTGAGGAGCCTGGTCGGGATGGGGTCCAGGAGACATGTTGATGATTTAGATGAAGCAATTGTTGAGGTCAACTCAGAGAGATCTATGGGAGAGAAGTAGTCCAAGTATAAATGAGGTCTGACAGATGTTTCTAAAGCCATTGTAGTAGATGGCACATCTGTGAGAATTGTGGGAATGATTTGATTAATTTATGTGCCTCGGGTCATTTTTTACCTGTGACATCCCCTGCACCACCTCAGAGGGGGCATAAACAGAAAAATACATTTACGAGGGGAACACAAACCTGGGGTGCTCCAGCTCAGTGAGCTGCTGTTTTATCACATGACTGCCAGCACCTCCACATTGTTAGAAATTAACCTGATTCTTTTGTTGGAAGCACGAGAAGTGAAGACAGGAGAGGGCTGTTTAAAATCAACAGAAAGTTTACTGAAAGTTTGATCACAGGCAGGTATAAGCTATTATTTCTGTGTAGCTTCTTCCGGTTCTTTCAAACCAGGAACTCTCAATGAGACGAAAGAGACTGCTTTAGATTTTATAAAAAATAACCGTGCTGGTTTATTCAGAGGATCACAGGTAAAATTCACAGTACACGTCCAGAGCTCTCTCCCCCTTCTACCTGCGCGCAGGCAGCAGAAAGCTGAGAGAGAGCCTGGACCCAACAACCTATATAATATTAATCGTTTTTGGGCTAGCCCATGCTACAAGGGGCGTCAAACCGTGACGCCACCCGATAAGCAAGCTTTGCAGCTGCTTTTGGTGTGAACCGGAGCTCCCCCTTGTTAGAATGTGGTAAAGTCTAGGTAAGTGTGTGTGTGTGTGTGTGTGTGTGTCAGGTTGTAGCCCCTGGCCTCTGCAGGACATCCCAAGACATAGCAAAGCCTGGGATATGCTAAGTGGGTCAAGGTGTGAATGTAAAACAGGCCTTTGCTAAAATGTAAATTGGCTGTCTGGTCACAAAGCGATGCAGACATCTAGTCTCTACACAGAACTTACAGCATTCAAAGTAAGCAGATTCTGCGTCATCACAGCTGTAAGATATATAAGCAAGGGAAATAAATGTATTAAAATAACCAAAGCACAGTAGTTCTGGACAATCATCAATACAGCTGTAATATGTATAAACAAGGAAAATAAAGTTATGAAAAGTAACTAAAGGGAACTAAAGCTGTGAAAAGTAACTAAAGCTCATAAAGTAACTAGAGTCTATAAGACTCAAATCTTACAACATGAAGGGCGACATTTAGGTGTATGATCAAGCTGCATGTAAAAACACTACACCATGGGGAAAGACCCAGTGGTCTTCAGAGCTCTGTGAAATATTTTGCTTGCTAAGTGTCTTATTCTAGACAATCTGCAATTTTACTTCATGATGAAATTGGTGAGTTTTGCATGCCTTGTGTGTTTTTGAATTTAAAAGGTATTTCTGAAATGATTTAATTAGTGAGAAATAGTCACTTTATTCTCAAAATGATTTGGCTTACTTTGTCCAGTACATTGCAATCCAGTACAATCCAAACTAGGGGAGAAACATTAGTTTTTCCCCACAATAAACCCTAATGACTCCTAGTGTCAGGGTGTGGGGGTGTAAATAAGATACAATCCAGAGGTCAAGGAAGTCATAAATCCATAAATCATAGCACAGGTGTGAAAACCAGAGAGGGTGCAAGGGGGGTGGGGGTTCTGGGACAGTGGGAGGGGCGTGGCTTAATGGCCATAAATCAATTATTTAACACCTCGTTATATTATTCTCATGTTAGTAGATTGAAATGGTAATGGAAGTATGGATACACAACAGAGAAATGAAATACAACATTAAATAAAAGGTTGGTGCATCTCCTTCACCCTCCCTGTCTTTACTCTGTTTCCCATTCCTCCTCTGTGTATGGACAGCTGGAAGCAGAGATCCAGCTGGTGTCAGAGGCCTATGAAAACCTTGCCAAGTCCTCCACCAAGAGGGAGGCGTTGGAGAAGACCATGAGGAACAAGCTGGAGCTGGAGGTGCGCCGGCTGCATGACTTCAACAGGGACCTCCGAGGTATGAGAGCAGGGAGGCGCAAAAACCATGCAATAAGAGTCAAAACTATAGTAAAGCCAGCTTCCTGTTATGTTTTTATTTTGCTCAAGTTTTATACTAATTTCAAAAGTGATAAATGTATTGTGGGAAAAGAGGTGACAGGTTAAATGTGCCCACATATTGCAGGTACAGTAGCTTGCATGACTTTACTGGAAGTTCTTTGGCACCTTTTTACACTTGATTTCAAACAAAGACATTTGATTTGATTTAGAACATTTTGTCAAAGGTTGCTCTGAATGTTTTATTTCCTATCAAACATGCACAACACACAACCCCATTACATGGCCTCAGTGTCTGCATAGCTGTGTCCTGCTGTAGTACATGCAGGGTTGGGAAAGTTACTTTAAAACTGTATTATGATACAGTTACAAATAACCTAAAAAATGTAATCAGTAACTTTATCCAACTATCACAATAGTAAAGTAATGTAACTTGATTACATTCCATTACTTTGGATTACCTCAATACCAAATATACAAATAAAGGCATGAGAAAAGAAATATCAACAATGTGTTATCAGTGTATTTTTTAAGAAAGACCTGTTTTTCATTAAGCAAATTCAGACGTAGCCTATAGACCTACAATGAAAGTCACCACATACAACCACAGTTTACAAAGTAATAATCAAATCTTCTCCTTTTACCAGGCAAAAAGAAAATGCTATGTTTTAATATGCACATTATGAACACACTATATTTTTTAACATAATGTTTCCACCTACTGAATAAAAAAAACAACAAACAAATGAAAGGAAATGAAAACAATAAAGCAACTTCAGGTTGCAGGCCTATCTATTATAAATTAAAGTACTGGATTACAGAATAGCATCTTTTTCAAAGCAAACATAAAATATGCTCCTTTTACAAGGTAAACAGATAGTGCTTTGTTTTAGTACATAGGAAAAAAACATCCTAGTCTGGAATTTCCCCACTGCAGGATCAATAACGTTCTACCTACCTAAAACCATGAACTGTTTTTCCAGCTGTTCCTGTCCTTGTTATTCATGTTTGGATTAATAGCCGAAACATTATGCACCTCCCTCAGTAATTATGGTTAGCATAAGGTTAGATTCAGCTTAAGGGAAACAGATTTCGACACAAGATTAGCTACAGTTTTACTCAAGTGAGACTTGTGAAATGTTGCAGTGCGCGAGCACTGTTCTTTATTGAACAGTGCTAAAATTGTAATTCTACTAATAATCCCAATTTTTACTAAATGCATCAGTAATCTGATTACATCTTTTTCTCTGCAATTTAAGGTTAGCCTTTTTTATATCCTAATTACATAACACCATCCAGTACATTCAGTTACTCCCCAAGCCTGAGTACATGCTGCTTCTGTCCAGAGTTTTAGTAGCTGCTACTAATCGGCAAACACATCTTTGTTACATGAACACTTACAGGGATAAGAAAAAACAAAAAACATGTGTAATCAGAGGTCACTGTTTAAGCACAAAGACAGATGAAGGAAGGGTAATAATAGGTTAGGTGTTGTTATGGTGTGTGAGGTAGGACCCCGGGATGCAGACCTTACTGACGTGAGATACAGAAGTTTATTTAATAGAACACTAGTATGCTGAGTGAACCAAAGAATGGACAAGGACTGAGCAGGAAGCCAAGGGACCTGAGGGCTGTGGTGTGCAGGTGAGAGTGGGTGCTCCGTGAGGACCAGACCAGTGGACCAGAACGTACAGGCTGGAGGAGCAAGAAGAGCTTGCGAGGAGATGCTGGTAGCCAGGTTAATTCACAGCGTTGCTGGCAAACAAACAGCTCATCAAGGACACAGAATAGTCAATGGAGGTAATCAACAGTTAGCAGCTTGATGAGGCATCTTCGTAGCGAGTTATTGGTTTTTTCTTCTTTTAGATCCAGCAGGGAGCGAGCCAGGAGTCTCTAGAGATGATCCCCACAACGTGGCAGTAAGACTGGATACATGGTAGAGAGAAACTGTGGCATTAACAAAGCAGAGTGTGACTGTAGCAGTAGCAGAGTAATGTGGCGTAATGAACCAGAATCAGACTGAGGAAAGAGAGGAGTATATATACCTGAGGTACAAGAGGCAACGAGAGCTAATGAGGGACAGGTGAATGTAATGTGTGGTGATTGCTGACCGGGATAAAGCTAGAGCGAGTGAGACTAAGCGAAACAGAAAAAGAGCCACAAAGAAAGGCATGAGAACAGAAAAAGGAGAGCAACAATAACAGATATTAGTGATACAGGGACCTGAATGAAACAGGACAGTGCTAAAATAATTTTCTGTGGTTAATTGATTACTTCAAAAAACAAACAAAAAAAAGAAACTGTTTTCCTCTTTAACTTCTGCCAAGACACGTACACACAGACAGAGTGGAAAGAAAGGTGCTCTGTTCATGGCTTGGGGCCCAGACTCAGGCCCTTTGGGAGCTTCACACAACAAATCACCACTGAACATTTTTCTTTCCTGCCATCTTGCCTTTCTGCTATTTTTTTCTATTTTTATAGTTTTGGCAGACGTGTGCATGTGTAATCTACACTGCTCCACTTTTCAGGGTCAAATGTCAGCATATGATTGTAGCAGTTATTTTGGAGATTTTGCAAGGAAACAGACTATTTACTCTGATGACAACATGTATGACGCAATTTCCAGACTATAAGTCGCTACTTTTTTCGCTTCATGTACACACCCTCATCATGGAAAACACACAACCAAATGCATGTGATGCAGCTTTCAAGTTAAAGGCGATTGATCTGGCTGTCACAATATCTCATGCTACAACGTGGACACCTGCAGCTACAGTGCCTTGCGAAAGTATTCGGCCCCCTTGAACTTTGCGACCTTTTGCCACATTTCAGGCTTCAAACATAAAGATATAAAACTGTATTTTTTTGTGAAGAATCAACAACAAGTGGGACACAATCATGAAGTGGAACGAAATTTATTGGATATTTCAAACTTTTTTAACAAATAAAAAACTGAAAAATTGGGCATGCAAAATTATTCAGCCCC